GAAGAGGTGGAGAGATTGACAATTGTGCTGAAATGAGCAGAACCTGCTGAGAATTGTGCTGATAAGAGGTGAAAAGGCTGCAAATTTTGCAGAAAAGAGGTGAAAATTCTGCTGAAAAGAGTTCAATCAGCAGAATTTCTGCTGAAAAGAGGTTTTTGCTGAAAACAGCAGAAAAAACTGAAAATTTTGCTGAAAAGAGTTCCATCAGCAGAATTTCTGGAAAAGCTTAAAATTCTAATGAAAACAGCAGAAGAGGCTGAGATTTGTGCTGATAAGAGGTGAAAATGCTGAACCAATCAGAGGTACTGCTTCTGTCTGCTTCATCAAGCTGTGTACTTGTATGTATTTCTGCCATGGAGCGTTAACAAGAATCTGAGGTCCATATTAGAAAAGCTGCCAAAATGCCGAATTGTAATAAATCATCAATAGGAATTACAGGTCTGTTATAGTGTATTACAGTTTTTCTCAAATGCTAAAACACATGTCACAAACGTTACCACCAGGTCCCCCAATGTCCAAACACAACACCCTTCTCTAAAGCTACATAAACACAACCACACCTTCCCACTGCAAAACTCAAACTCCCACACCAAGAGAGCAGCTTGAAGCTGTCAAAACTGTAAACACTATACACAGCATTACACACTACAGCAAAACAATTGAAAACACAATGCTCAATTTGTGAGAAGGTTCTTTGGTTCATAACTGCCAATGCATATTTTAGAAACTATACAGTAACGGATCGTCGTAGATCTCTGCAGAGGATTAGGCATTTAGATTTGTGAGTTTCATATGAGTAGTATAAATCTATAGAAAATCCTGCATGTACGTACACTACTGTAACACAACTCAATGCAAAAACAGAATCTATTGCACACAACAGTAATCTTGAAAACATGAACAGGGTGTGAAGTTTTTTTATTTACGTTATTCACACCACACACACACCACAATCACTGTGCGGCATCATGTCGCTGAGCTGTTGCTCGCATCTCGTCCGTAATGATGGTGCGAGGTTGTCTTGCTCTCCCTCCTGGACCTTCTCCTCTCCCATGTTGGCCTTCTCCTCTTCCTCATTGGCCTGCTCCTCTTCTTCCAGGGCCAGCTCTTCTCCCTCCTCTGCATCAAATTCCTCTTCCCCTGACTCTGCCTTCATCCATTGTGTTTGTTTGGAATCTTCAGCATACTGTGCACTCTGAACTTGCTTTTACATGTGGGTACAGCATTAGCAACAAGTGTCTTCAATTTTGAGTCATTGTGTGTAGTGAATGACGCCAGGTGTGTTCCCTGTGTTCAAAGATTGGTGACTGTGGCAAGCATTTTGCATCACACGGGCTTTCATTTGAGAATATGAGCAGAGTTGTTTTGCAACATGTGTTTTAGCAAGGAAAAATGTGTTTAGATTTATGAGTACAGAGGGTTGTGCTTTGTGAATTGTGTCTTCATGTGACATGTGTTTATGGTACTGGAATATGGTGGCTACATTTAATAAATGTGTTTAGACTACTGGTCATTTGGGTTACAGGATTGGCTTTTGTGTTTTAACATTTGAGAAAAACTGTAATTTGTAGTGGAAGAAAACATGTGGACAAGGTGGAATTGAACCCACGACCTTTGGGCTTCAGACCCGTGTCATTACCAACTGCGCCACTGGGAAAGAGAACGGCCCCTGGAAAATGGGGTGATGAGCAGTCAGAATTTTCGGAGTTTGAAAACTGAGAGGAGGACAGATTTCCACCCCTCAAACAAACGTAATTTATGGCACAATGGTAAGATGACTGTAAAAACTGCTTCGACCTTGAGTGTCAGCAGTGTCTGAAGATGAATTGGCACAAGCCTCATGTCTTAACTTTGCTTTGTTACAGAGATATGACGATTTGAAAATGCCTCTCATTAGAGAAATCCAGCACTGGTTTTGAACAAACTCCCCATAGACTTTGAATGGAGAGTTTTAAAACTTTTTGTTGCTCTGAGGCGATTTGATAAAAATCTGTAACTTCCACAACAGTGATAGTAACATTTTCTGAAAGCCAGCAAAAATACCTACGTTTTGATGTATAATTTGTGGAGGTTGGGTGAAAATTGAGCAAGAAGTTGTTCGGACATGAAGAGAAACTTCAGAAAGCAGCAGCTCTCACTCTGAGTTAATTGCATAGCAACCATAACAACGCATGTATTTTCTGAAAAATCACAAAGCTGCAACTGAAAACTTAAAGAGGCATTAAATGAAAACGGTAACAGATATGAAAAAGCTGAATCACACAGGAAAAGACCAGTCATTTGAGAACGTTTTAAAGTTTGAATGGAGTTTCTAGGTGAAAGCATGAGCATGTAGTTAAGTTTCGAAAACAAGAAAGTTTTAGCAGAATTTCTGAAGTTTTCCATTCATTTCAATGGGACAAATTAAAGGAAAAAAGTGTAATATTTTAAAAAGTATAATAGCAATAAACACCAAAAGATATAGCCAGAAAGAGCAGAACAGATTAGAGTTTGAACTGAGAAAATCGGCTGAAAACTGAGGGAGTAGTTAAGGTGCAAAAAACGTACGGAAGCGACAAGAATAAAGGATAAAGAATAAAGAGAAACAGGAACTCAATACCACACAATTAGTTTCACGCCAAATGAGCTGCAGCTTTGCGCTGTGATTGTGGCTCACGGCACTTTTCCCTCACATGTTACTAGAGGAAAAAAAACACACTCATCTCGAGCTGTTTGTGTTACCTGGTTAATATGTTCTTCATAGTTTTTTTGTATAATCTAAGCTAAGCAGTATGTTATGAAAAAACAAGTTATTGACTTAAAAAATGTAATTAAGCCAAAGGCAATAACCAGTGTGCAAAACAAAATGAGGAGAATAATTCAGATCCCCTTTGGGCAGTAACTTAAATGTTAATATGTACAATGTTTAATTTAAATAAATGAACAGTTTAAATGTATTAAATGCCGAAGCACAGCAACAATGTACATTTAGTTTAGGCTAAAGCTCTTGTCTAGTTTCCTGCAGTGTGGTTTGATTTGAATAGCTGATGAGGATTCTTGAAAAATGCTGTGAAAGCTAAAATCACCATGTGATAACAGTACTTGCTCACTCGGTGAGTACCTCCCTACTGACCTCCTCAGAATCACGTGATTTTTGTGTACAGTAACTTTGGGAAATTTAATGAGGTCACGCAACCTGAAACTGAGTTTGACATTTTTGATCCCTCATAAGTACAGCAGACAGATGTGACATTTTCAATGCTAAAATACACATTCGAGCTCTGTTAAAAACAGCAAATAAATCAGTTTTGCATACTTTAAAGTCAAAATCTTGTTTTTGCTCAGAAGCGCTTTTATTTTATGAGACAAATGGGTTAAATGGCAAAATATCACCAGTTAAATGTCTATACTATAGATTAACAGAAGCATAAAGGTTCTTCACACCATGTGGGATATGTAGCTGGTCAAAGCAAGTTATAATCATGGCTTGAGCATGGTATCAAACATGTGGGTAAAATGGTACATGTCATGATTTTTAATCATCCTGCATATTTTGTACAAAAAAGATTTGACAGCTATAAGTAGGAAGATATCACAGAGTGTTTCTAAGCGGGAGACCCACTGTTGAATAACAGTATGAGTTTTTTGTTTTTTTTTAAATGGCATCATGTATCACTTGGGGGAAAAAAAGAAAAGTGAGCCAGACCTTCTCAGAAACAGTGCTGACTTTTGTTCCTGCAGGCTGTGCTCCTGCAGTCAGTTTTTAAAACGTTGTCAACACGTTATCTAACTTCCACTGCCTGCTGAAAAACATCAGCACGGTTTCTCTGTAATTTAACCTGGCATTCCTTGTTTAACAGATTGTGTTCCCACATGCTGAAGAGGCGGAGCTGAGGGGACGATGGAGAGCAACGCTTTTGAATTCACCCCTAACATTAAATGTCCTCAGCCACACACTGAATAAAAGGACATACGAGTCAAATCAAGCTGTTGTTGAATGCTTTTAATTGTCCTTATTTGCTGTTTGCTAATCCTGTGGTGAGATGGAAGTGTCAACATGTGTTTTTTTATCCCGAGATTTACCATTGAGAGGCGAATGCACGTTTTTGTTTTGTGCTTGAGGATGCAAAAATTGGATGAGGGGGCCAGGAATGGAGATAATAAGGCCCAGATGTCACAAGGGTGGTTACAAAACTCACCAAAAGTGCCTCTTACCACTTCCCCTCGCTCCAACTAGCACCTCTCTCTCTCTCTGTGTGTGTGTCCCTGTTTGTGTGGATATGTGAGTGTTTCATAACCAGCTGATTACAAGTCTGTGCTCGTCTGGTCTCATAACAGAGGAGAGGTTTGATAAGTCATCGGTACATGTCAGCAAAAATAAAGAATTCACAGCTAATCAGCACTTTATGTAACAAGCAAATGATACAATACACAGAAACAAAGTCAACGGGGGATTTGTTGTAACATAAATGCAATATTTAAATTTAAACAAGTCAATAGTGCATGCTCCGACTCCCTGGTAGTTACAAAACTCAGAGGTTCTCACCGAAATTCTGCATGCACCAAAGGTTTTATGAAAGTAAGAAAGAAAGAAAGAAACCAGTACAATGATGTGAGTCAGTGCTCAGAGGCTGCAAGGAACAATCAAGCCACTGTATGCAACACTGGCAAAGTTATTTATGAGAATGATTTTTTTTTTTTCCACCATGAAGTTCTTAAAAATCCCTGACCATGCAGGAAATACTGGATGCCAATGGTTTATCATATCCAGAAAAATGGAAAACACACTGATTTTATACATGTGACATTTTGGCCAGGCATGCTTGGACACTAATGTTTAAACCCCATCCCTTCTACCCCTGTGTCCTGGCTCTATTCACATGTGCCAGTTGTGTAACAGCCGTGATTCGCCTGAGGGTTTTTGTAATGGTGTAGCGAACAGCAGGATTGTGGGGAGGGGGAGTGGGGAGGAGACAGAATGGGGGTAGGGCTGTACCCTGCAGCAAATATAAGTAGCCTCCGCTTGCTCTTTCCCATCAAACCGCCTTGACACTCCTGATCACTCCTTGCTGCCGAAGCACAGACAGAAGAAGCCATGAGGAGCACACTGCTGAGGATGCTGGCCGCCCTGGTGTGCGTGCTGGCTGCATGTGCAGATGTCATGCCCGTAAAAGACTTCAACCTGGAGAAGGTAACAAATACATATTTAAAAGGAAAGAAGTTATTTGCGTCTGTCTTTGGGTTGTTGCACAGACAAAAACAACCCCTCACTTTTAGAAAGCAGAGGGGAAGCAGTAATGCAGGTAGGGTTTAGATAACCTCTTTTTAAACAGTGTTTGCTTTCTTACAGGTGGCGGGCAAGTGGTACATGGTTGGCTTTGCTACAAATGCTCAGTGGTTTGTGAACCACAAAGCAACCATGAAGATGGGGACTGCTTTCTTAACTCCTACTGATGTAGAAGATCTGGACCTCTCTTACTCCAACCTGAAGTGAGTATAATTGTGCTTTCAAAATAAGATAAAATAAAATAAATTAAATGGCAATGATTGTCTTTTTTAGGGAGGATATCTAATAAACTGGTCATTTTTTCCCCATTTAAGTACTGATGGCTCCTGCTGGAGAATGACTCACCTGGCTAAGAAAACAGACACTCCTGGACGTTTCACCTTCCACAGCCAAAGTAAGTAGAGACGCCTTTAAAACTGCCCCAAAATCTGACATATATTTGAATACTTAGATTTAACATGATTTCTGTGACCCCACCAGCTTGGAACAATGACAACGACATGCGCATTGTTGACGTCGTTTACGATGAGTACGCCCTGGTCCACACCATCAAGACAAAGAATGGGGTGTCCGAGGTCCTCAACAAGCTTTACAGTGAGTTTGTCTTACCAAAATAAGAGTAACTTTCTAGGAATGCTCTCCGGGATTTGCTCATTCTTGAAGAGCGCCGTCATTTTTTATTGTAGGTCGCACTCCCGACACCAGCGCTGTCCTGCAGGAGAAATTCTCGCAGTTCTCTTTGGAGACTGGTGTCCTCGCTGAGAACATTGTTATGCTGCCCAAGAATGGTAAGTTAACAGTATCAACAATGTAACTGATTCTGTGAGCGAGGCAGACCTTCGCTCACCAGCCTTTCTAATATGCGTTACAGGTGAGTGTCCCGACGCCTGAGGAGCCCAAATCTTCCATCTCAGCAGCATCCCCCCCC